TTTTTTTGGTGGGTTTTTTTTTTTTCTCTTTTAAATCAGCTTTATTTTTCTAACTGTTATTTCAATTTCCCATAGCACCTTGGCAATGTCAAAAACAAATACAAATACATGTATTATCATTTGAACACTTAAAGCATGAACCTACTTTACACAAATTTTGTTTTGGACATTTTGACAACAGGAATAAACCAGAACAGACAGTCTAAAAGCCAGGTAAGTCGCTTTTTTCTCCTTTCCTACCACTTTGAAGAGAGATCGTCAATGCCAAGGGGAAGCTGGATTCATCCGGGAGGAACAAGATGTCTGTAGTAACTCGAGCTCAATATATTATCTGAATATTTTGTATTCTATAAAAATTAGAACAAAACCCATTTATGCACAGTCTGTTTACATTTGAAGTTGCATTTTTTTTTTTGGAAACTGTATCCATAACTGAAGTTCCATAAAAATAAACATCTGGTTCTTAAATATAAAACTTTAAAGTTGTTACAGGTTAGTTTGCAGATGGATTTTTTTTTTTCAGAAATAAGTTGCTTTAACTCCATTTCAAGTCCTCCCAACTGTACATTAAAAACAGACTCAATGAACCTCTTGAAGTGCCTGAGCTAAAGGCACTGAAGAGAAGAGCCAACTAAAATACTACAACAACCCAAAATTATGTACCATCCTAAAGGAAGCTCAGACTATATGGAATATATACACGCAAAGAAGAGCATGATAAATCATTCAGATTAATGGCAACAATCTTAACGTTTCAGAAGGAAATATCAAAATTAGAAACAAAAACTCTATTGCATATCTGTAGTAATCAAGGATTTACAAAAAAACTCATCAGAAGCCATTTCCCCCCGAAGTGCATTTCTGTTGCATCATCTGTAATACAATGGTGCATTTTACAAATTTAAAATATCATCTGTACATACCAGATATCTCAGCCCAGGTAAACTCAACCTGGGAACAGTAAAAATCGCAGACAGTTTCAAGACAATGAAGCTGATATTGACAAAGTAGTAAGGCCATAGCTATTTAACTACAGTAAAGCATTGATTAAGTCACTTATTTGCTACTGATCTGCCACAGTATCATCTTTCTCTTCTGGTTAATAGTGGGTTACTTTTTATTTTTTTTTCCTACAGCTAAAACTGCACCATCATACTGTGCCAGGCTAATTAAAGAAAAACAAAAAAAAACAACAAAACAACAAGAGCAGGAATGTAAGATACTATAAAACTAACTTAATGTTAGAAATCAAAAGAAACAAAACTTTTTGCACTTTTAGTTTTACTATCACATGCAAAGAATTTCTTCTTTTCGCTCCCCAGCAGAAGCACGAGAGAGTGCCCCAATCTTTTCCACACGCAGTAATTTGGAAAAGACCTGAACTGGGAAGTGTATTTCTGTCCCAAACAGAAGTCAACAACTCTGAAAACAAGTCACAGTTCCTAAAACTGAAAGTTAGGTGTGATTTGCACCTCCTGGTATTTAACATCAGCGGAGCAGGACAGTTTGTATCCCGGGAGGGCAAACCCAGAGGGACCAGGAGAGCTCTGGGCACCTGGAGAGCACCTGGAGCCAGGTGAGCCCAGGAGCCTGGGTCTGGTTCCAAACCACCCCTCTGTCCCAGTTTCCCCAGTCTGCCCAACTGGAAACTGCTGGCACAGACACGAGATCCCAGCACGAGAGAACAAACCCCTGCCAGCTCCCAGTGCTGAGGAGAACTCCCACCCCAACACAGCTTCACAGCCTCTGCATCCAACTGGGAATTTCCCCCTGCACAGAAAACAATAGAAAGAAAAAAAAAAAAAACCAAAAAAAACCACCAAACCCCAAACCACAGCTGGAAATGGTGGAATTTGAAACGTGAAATCCTCGCATGCAGGTGTGAAATTCATCGTTCCAAGTGCCCTAAGCTGAGGGAAGTTTGGGTGTGCTGGGCAAAGGCTGACCCGCATCCCCTGCTGCTGCTGGGACAGCCCAGGGTCCCAGAGCGCCCCTTCCCACACCCCACGGGAAGGTGGAGCCACAGCTGGCTGGGTTTTCCCTCAAAGCTCCATTCCACCACTCAGGTCCTGGAGCCACAGCTGGCTGGGTTTTCCCTCAAAGCTCCATTNTGGGTTTTCCCTCAAAGCTCCATTCCACCACTCAGGTCCTGGAGCCACAGCTGGCTGGGTTTTCCCTCAAAGCTCCATTCCACCACTCAGGTCCTCTCAGCACAAGCAAGTCACTGACACTGGATCAGGGAATTTTTTCCCAGCCCCTTTTCCTCTCCATTCCTCCTCCAAACAGCCAAAGCTGTCAGATCCCAACGCTGCCTCAACGTCCCAGAACACATCTCCCCTAAACACCCATGAACCACCCTACAGGCTTGTTTTGTTCCAGTTTGGCTGCAGGAATTGTTTAGAGCCTTTAAAACTAATTCAACTTTGCATTCACTGCATTTCAGGACTTTGACACTAAATATTTAAACTTGCCTATAGTTCCAACAAGAGTAGCATTAGTAAAATAAATGGAGAAGGGTCTGTAAGGATCCCTAACTGTGGATGTGATCAACGATTTTTTTTTCACTAAATTAAAAAAAAAACCTCCCAAACCCAGTACAGGTAGTTTCAAAGTGAATAGTGATTTTAGGGTTTATATATACACATATATATATATATATAAATATATATATATGTATACATACTTCAGGACCCGAGGAAATGGCAGGAAGCTGAGTTGGGGAAGGCTGAGGTGGGAAATCAGGAAAAAGTCCTTTCCCAGAGGGATGTGGGGCACTGAAGAGGCTCCCCAGGTGGAGGGGTCACAGCTCCAAGCCTGTCTGATCTAAAAGCATCCAGACAATGCTCTCAGGCACAGGGTGGGATTTTGGGGTGTCTGGGCAGGGCCAGTTGGGACTCCATGATCCTGATGGGTCCCTTCCAAGTCAGCCCATTCGGTGATTCTCTGACTCTCTCTTTTGTAACATGCCTAGAAATGAACAGTTAACTGCATAAATACATTATATCGTGTTATGAATCAACTCAAAGCAATTGCCAAGCTGAATAATAAGTTAGAGAAATGACAACTCTGGCTTTATATATATATTTATAAAAATAGATATGAGTGTTCTCCAAGCAGTTGATAGAGAATTCCTACTGAGGCCCAAGTCGCCAAGGGTTATCTGGCTAAGAAATCAGAAGATGAAAAATTTCACAGTTATTTTAACTGCCACTTACATTCATTCTATGGCAACACGAGCATATATTACTAAGATGGTTACGGAATATATCACAATTGAGTTTTCCAGTGTTCACAACTTACAACTTTAAATTTGTACACTTGCTATTCACTAAAAAAAAAAAAAAAAAAGAGGAAAAAATAAAGATGTGATTCTTACTGCTGGAAGCTACTTTTCCCTAACGCTTTATACAGAACTTTGAACCCTGGTATGCTGATTTTGGCAGATTAATGCGCTGAATGTTCCTATTTCGGTCATTAATCACCCTGAAACTTAACCACTTACTGCACAATAGTGTTGCAAATTCAGTCAGCACACAGCTGGCAAGGAGCCACTGCTCCAGAGGGCATTTCCTTAACTCTGCATCTTTAGTTCCACTTTAAACAGTTAAAAAGAGTCAGTTGCTATGACATCAGCTGTAAACAACGAGTTCCCAGGAGTCTCAACCCTGATTTCTGGCAATACAGCAGCCAAGAGCCTGTTCCAGAGTCAGCACAGAGAAAAGCCAGCCACAGCTCTGGTTTGCTGCCCAGTCATCCAGAGATGACAGCGAGTGCCCAGAGTTCCCACCTGCAAGGCAGAATTCAGCATCTGCAGCTGCAGTTCCAGGCTCCTTACCTGTGCAGGTAACACCACCTGCCCACCTACCCTGGGGCTGCCTCAGGAAAACACACCCAGAAAAATGCACTAAAGTCTGTAATAAAGAAATTAGAGAAAGTAACAAGAGAGGGAAAAAGCAAACAAACAAAACCCCAAACCTAAGGAGTTGCCCTCAAAAGGAGGCGAGCAAAAAGGGCATAATAAAGATTCTCACATGCTCCCTTTGCCTCCTTCCACTGCGTCTACGAGACAATTTCTGCTGTCCACACACTCTCACCTACAATCCAGTATCCTGCAAAAGTTATACCTTAACAAGCTTGCTGAATGAAATATTAGTAAGGTCAAGAGACTCTACTTCAAGCTGGAAACACATGGGTTACACTACAGTAGTACATTCAGTTTTCATCATCAGTGACTAAGTGATGACAACAGGTCTGGCTGCACTTGCTGTGATCACACTGCTGCAGAGGCCTCTGCAATGCCAGGCCATCCATGGCAGACACACCAGCCCACAAGCCAAACGTTAAATAGGTTAAAAAAAGTCCTAATTTTACAGAAATGCTCATTTTCCAAAAATAATATTCTCTTATCCTTTTCCTCCTACACTGAGGGACAGGTTAATTTGTCAACTCATATCCTTTCACTTTGTCAAAACGCTACTTTCACAATCCCAAAGCTGATTTCAAGCAGGAAACCCTCTGCAAATTAAAAACAAAAATACAAAAATTATAATCTCTATATTTATAGTGATTGGAATCCTCCAGCATTTGTGAAATCACTTTTAGAGATGAATTTTGGGACCCTCCACAACTTCTCCACACAAGCCACGCTCCAGTTCAATACTCCCCTTCCTGAATCCTTCCCTCCTCAGTCTCTCTGCTGCTCTTTAGTCCACAGCTCAAGTGAAACAGAGAATCATTGGCTGGCCCAGCGTTACTTTGGTGACCGGGGTGGCACGAACTGCTCCTTGCCGGCGCGGCGCGGCGCTCCCTGAGGCGAAGATCTGCGTCCAAACTGGCGCCTCTGTTCCCTGATTTTGGCAGCAGCTCCCCTGGGAGCCCCGCTGCCGCGGAAGCCGCAGAAATCCTTCACTCTCCCCTCGGGCCTCTCGTGAGGAGCCTTCTCCGGAGCCTTCTCGGCCGTACCGTTCTCTTCGCTCTTGGCAGGGGCCACGATGTTGGTGCGGTGCTCCCTCAGAGGCTGCACGGGGACTGCAGGCGGCTCCTTTGGGGGCTTCTGGCAAACTTCGGCGTAGCTGAGCTTGCGAGGCTCCTTTGGGAGCAAGGAGAGAGCGAGGTTTATGCACCAGAGCCACCTCCCAGCCTAGGCCAGGCACGAAGCCAGGACACAACAGCAGCAACACACACAGAGCGAGCAGAGGGGAGCTCCCAGGTGCACCACCAGCTGCACAACCTGGAGCACCATCAGCTGCACAACCTGGAGCACCATCAGCTGCACAACCTGGAGCACCATGAACTCAATCTGGAGCACACCAGCTGCACAACCTGGAGCACACCAGCTGCACAACCTGGAGCAACCCCCCTGTGTCATTCCCATTCCCTGCTCTGGGCCTTACCTGTGTTGACAGGGCAGGAGCTGCACTTGCTTGAGCAGAAGGTGAGGAGCTGTTTGTCCTCGGTGGCTTTGCAGCACTGACGGGACAGACGGATGCCGGCGGAGAAGCCGGGCTGGCCACGTCCTTTGGAGCAGACAATTCCTCTGGTTTGCTCTCTGGCTGAACCGTGCTGATAAACCAACAACAATTCAAATTAAAACCTACCAACACTCAGGTTTCAGAGATTACTTCCTTTCTTTGAAGTCACAAGTGCAGAATGGAACAGCACAGCCATCCCCCAGCATGATCTGTTCTTTCCATCTGGTGGCCTCTGGAGAAGATACCACCCAACATTACTGCCAGACACTGGTGGGAGACTTTGCTAGAACATGCAAATGGATCACCAGGCTCTGGGGGCATCAGCTCCAGCACTGCCAGACAGGTGAGGAAGGGGATTGTCCCACTCTTCTGCACTGGGGTGACCTCACTCCAGTCCTAGGGGCAGTTTGGGCACCACAGTATCTAAAAGATCTGAAGGTGCTGGAGAGGGTCCAAAGCAGGATCAGGAGGGTCTGGAGGGGTGGCTGAGGGCTCTGGGTCTGCTCAGCTGGACAAGGGGAGGCTCCTGGGGGGCTGCAGCTCCATCCCGAGGGGCAGCTCCCGTCTCTGCTCCCTGTGAGCAGGGCCAGGACACCAGGGAACCACTGCAGCTCTGCCAGGGCAGGGAAATGAGGGGAGGATTCTTCCCCCAGAGGGTGCTGGGCACTGCCCAGGCTGCCCAGGGAATGGGCACAGCCCTGAGGCTGCCAGAGCTGCAGGAGCTGCTCCAGGGATGCCCAGGGTGGGATTGTTGGGGTGTCTGTGCAGGGGTTGCACTGGATGATCCTTGGGGTCCCTTCCAGCTCAGGACCCCCCATGATTCCATGGTGTGCCCGTGTTCTCTGCTTACCTCAGCACCACAGGCTCAGTCTGGCTCGGGGAGCTCACGCTGGGCACGGCAGGTTGGGCAGTGCTGGGCGTTTGTTCCTCTGGAGCAGGAGCAGGGCAGGGGCACAGGGAGTCTTTGCTTTCCTGCAAAGACACAGAGCAAAAGTTGCAAAATACAGAGCAATTCTCAAATTGCTCCACAATATGGCACTGTAAGACATCTGAGAAGTGGGGTAGTCCTAAAGGCTGCTCAAGTCCTGAGGAAGGAATTTTACTTCTTTTGGATCATCATCTCTAAAGCAATCCCTCCTTATATGGGCAAAACAAGCTGGGGTAAAACCAGAACTAAGGCTAGGTCATCCAGAATGTCAGTGCTTAGTCCCACCAGCTCAAAGAACAGATTCATCTGGAGAGATCCCTTGCCCACACTTCACTAAACTGCTCCTACCCCAGCAGCCAACATTCCTCCTTTGCCCACTTTATTCCTAAACACCACTGAGTTTACAACAGCATAACTGCATCAGCCCTAGCTGCATTCCCTCAAAAAAAAAAAAGGGAAAATGCACTAGGAGGTCTTGGATTAACGCAGTGAATACGTGGCTCTCACAAACAAACCCTTTAACAGGGAAAAGGGAGTCCCAGCACCCAGATATGCCCATGTGAGTACAGAGACAGGAGCAGGCACCTTCTCTTTGCAGACTCCTTTAACGATGTCAGACATCCTGCTCTCCAGCACAGGCTCTCCCAGGATTTTTGCTGTGCTGCCAGGCAAAGGTGGGAAATTGGATGCAAGCAAGTCAAACTTTGGTGTCTGAGTCTTTGTTTCTGCTGAAGGCTGAGGTCTCTGGAGAGGGAAAACACAAGTTACTAGAGTTGTAACACTGAGCAGTGAAAGCCCTGAGCAAGTGTCAGGAACTTCCTAGAGAACTGTAAGCCCCCAATGTAATCTGAGGATTTAAGGACTCTGCTGTTCAGTAACTGGGAAGCCAACACTGCCCTTTGTGTGACTCCTGCAAAAAGGGAAGCAGAACTTACTGAAACCCGGTCGTCCTCCCGTCTCCTCCGACCTCGGAACACGTTCCTCCTTTAGAGACAAGAACAGCAGTCAGTGCCTGCAGGCAGCTGCAGTGGGCACTGCCCTGCAGGAGGGCAGCACAGCTGCTGCTGAGCCTTCCCCACCCACGGCTCCGGGATGTTCTCCCTCCTCACGAGGGGCCAAAGTTCCAGCTTTGGAAGAAGTTGGAAAAGAATCAATATGGGAACAGCTCCTCTTTCTCAGCTCCCTGCATGAGCATTTGACCAAGCACAGGGACAATTATTTTATAGTAATAAACTTATTAGACTGATTTCTCACTGATCTGCCCTTTCAAGTGTCTAATCCCTGAGTTACAAAGAGATAAAAACAGTTCATCTTAAAATACTGAGGAGCATCAAATTCCCAACTGAGGATTCACTTATTATTTACAGCTATACAGATGCCAACTTTACTTCAACATCTGTTTTAATTCTGGAAACAAATCAGTCACTTTAAAATAAAGACACCTCACTGTCATACAGCCAACTGTTTGTCAGAGTAACTACCAGCTGGAGAGTGAAGCTGGAACCACTCCTGCCCCCAGGTCAGCATTTACTGCTCCTGATTTACTTAAGCATCAGTTTTCTCGTGGCTGCTCCTTACAGAAATATATTTTGTGCTGATGGTTGATATCTTTGGCTCGCACAAGCCAAGCTCCAGTGTGACACACAGGACACAGCCCCTTACCGGCCCCTGCCGACGCCGTAATCGCCGTTCTGCTCCAGCTGTGCCGTGGGAGAATCCTTCTGGGAATACCCTTGGTCTTGGTGCCCCGTTAATGAGCTGTTGTGGCGCTCCATGACAAAATTCCTGGAGCTGGTTCTGCTCAGGTCCCCCATGGGCAGGGCCCCGGCGCCGGGCGGCCCCTCCGGGTGCTCCGAGCTGCTGGATGAGCGGAAATGGGGCTTGACCCTGCAGGGACAGAGTGGGAGCTGTGGGACACCAGAAGGGAGGAACCACAGCAGGGCAGGAGCTCTGGGATCCCCAAACTGAGGAACCACAGCAGGGCAGGAGCTGTGGGATCCCCATGCTGAGGAACCAAAGTAGGAGCTATGGGGACCCCCATGCTGAGGAACCACAGCACAGCAGGAGCTGTGGGATCCCCATGCTGAGGAACCAGAGTAGGAGCTGTGGGACACCCAAACT